AAATTTATTTGCCGAGCATCCTCAAGTCGTATAGATTTGATGCGATATTGGGTGTTTGCACCTGATTCAATAACATCATGTAGGAATTTGTTTTGAAGATCAACTAAATATTCCAGAGCTGCGCATAGAAATAGGCCAGAATCCTTGCCTTCCATAAGGCCAAATACGACTTGACAATCCAAATTCATTTCAGGTTTTTTTGTAGGTAGATCATGACATTGATATCTATCAATAAGAGGCATAATTGCATTCCATGACTTTGCAAAATTATCAAATGTAACTCGAAGAGAATGCTGAAGTTTTTCATGCTCATGTATGAACTCTCGAAATGTCATATGTAATGCATCATTCCGTTTAATTCGATAGTTAAGACGCGAGGAAAGTATACGTACAAATTTTACTAAAATATTCAGATGCTTCAGATGCTGTAGAACCTTTTCATGTTTGAAATAGACTGAAATAAATGGAAAATCCTTCTGATAGTGTTCATTATTTTCATAATATGCACGAAAGTCATTAAAGCTCGTATTTCCAATATGTCTCCAAAGTCTAGGTAATCGTCTTGTTCTATTGATATTGTCAAATGCCAAAGTTTCATTTATTTCTGCTTCAAGAGTAGTAGTTTGTTTCTTCCTTTCATCTTTAGCTTTCTGGAGTTTACCACGCAAATTCATTGCTACAGTTATAGGATTCTTAACCCGATCAGCCCGATCAGTAATGTATTTTCTAGTGAATTGGCGTTCCCAATTTATTCGTGCTTCTGATGTTCTTAACATGGGATTTCGACTTTGACCATCTTGTGTGATCGGATAATGTGTAATCGAATGAAGTATATCGTGTAATATTAAAGCCAAATCTTCATTACTACAGTTTATGAGATCTTTTAATACTTTCCAATCTTTGGTAATATGATCTAAACAGTGTGCAATAGGATCTGCAATATGATTTAAGAATGCACGTGAATCTGGAGAGGCGGCAATAAGAGCGTGAACAAAAAGGTGCAATATTCGATATGATGATGCAGTCATTTCGCGAACACTTTTGCCTCGTTCTAATGTTCCTGCTTCCATTATATAACCAGTTTTATCTTTGTTAGAGACTGCATTTTGAACCTGACTGGCAGTTAATTTTGTTTGACCTGCTGCTGCTCTGTGATGTTGCCCGCCAACCATTCTGCCACAATTTCTTGGACAGCGTCGATCCTGCATAGTTTGACCACATTCACCAACGACATATTTGTATCCACATGCACATTGGTACCTAAGAATATATTAGTAGAACACAAATTAAATAATAATTTAGTATAGGTATATTAATCAAACGGTAACTTACCATGAAAATCCGCTAAGTGCACCCATTAAAATTGCTTCTTCATCAGATGGACAAGTTAGTATATATGTGTAGTGACAATGTTGTAATTGGTGAAGGTACAGCGCTAATGGTGAATCGTTTGCTGGAATTGAAGCATGAACTGCAAGTATATGAATGATGACCAAGCGAATTAACAAATCTTCGTTATTAGTTCTCGGGTTAATTCGTAGCATAGGGTTTTCGTTGTCCAAAAGTCCCATCACAAGCTGTTTGTATGCTGGTGATAAATTAATATTATTTAAAGATGAACGCAAAGTATTAACTATTTTCTTTTCATTTGCATTCAAGTTGCGTGTCGCATTAATTATATATAGGTTGGCTACAATAGCTCCAATAAAAGAAATGCGCAAATTAACTTTGTTATATGGTTCAAGCTTCTTTAAAAAGTCCTTTAATTTTGGTTTGCTCAAGGCATCCTCTGCTTCATCATATTCCTTAAACAAAAAGTAAGGATTGAGAGGTAATCGAGAATTATTATCTTTATTCCATGGTAAATCAGAAAGCCATGGTAGAGTCGTTTGGTTAAGATTGAAAAATTGTTTAAGATCACTCATCGTGAAGCTGCGAGCTCGTAAATTCTTTAGAAAATAGAACTTGAGCGATTGGATTAATGGATGTGGTTTCTGCATCAATTCATTTAGGATAGCCATGAACTCATTTGAATCAATAATATTAAATTTTATCGGCTCAGTAAAAGCTTTGTCTAAGCTTGCTGATGACCATAAATCATCTACGATTTGCTTTAATAGAGCTATGGCACAAACAAGTTGTAACGGTTTGGCGTTATTGGCACACAAAACCTGTATAGCATCTTTAAATAATCCTTTAAGCCTTTGCAACCCAACCCAGGCCAAAAATCCTTTTTGAATAACATCACAGCATAATGCTGCTAACTGTGAATCATGATTCTTTCCTAATTGTTGGTTTATTATATTGAGTCTTGATGAAAAATTTAATACTTCATTTGCATTCCTAATTATAGTTGAGAACCAATCCTTCTCTTCCGAACGAAAAATGTAAAGTATTGTAAAGGCTGTGAAATGTGATGGTTGAGCTTGTGCAAATAATTGTTCATAAACATGCAAGCGATCAGGTGATTCAAGCGGAATAATCTCTAATATTTGTAAAATAAAATTTTGTTTTGCGATGCTACTCTTTGTATTGTTTTTTGTATTGCCAAACATTTTAAAAATATAGTTTGTAAAGTCGCTATTTGAACCATCATAATTACGTCCAAGGTTAATAATTGTCGAGAGATGATTCGGATAAACTATTTTTTTTGATATAAGAAGATCGTTGCATATATTAAGAAGATGAAGAAAGGGTGAGGAATCCGTTGACAATTCGGAACAAAGGTGAATAACTTGAGAGGCTTCAATCTGCCACTCTTGCAATTCTCTTTTATCATCCATCATATGGACACGGTCTAGCGTTAACTGAATAGCTATATCTGAAAGATCTTTTACAGAATTCTGGAAATCAAAATCATCACTTATTTCTTTGTTTAATTCATTAGTAATTGAAGAACAAAGTTTAGCTAACTGTAATTCAGCAATTATAATATCTGAATTCCCCCAACAATAAGTATGAAGTATTATAGGATTCAGGATTAGTTTTTTACCCAAATGTCGTTGTAGTAAAAGATCGATGAGTTTACGATTCTCATTGCCTCCAAGTCCAGAAGAGATAAAGGTAAGAAAATCTTTGTAATATAAGTCAATTGATTTTTTAAGTGTCTCATGTTTAAGGGCAGGAATATTTGATAAAATGTTTTGGAACCTTTCAAAACAATTAACAAATACTTCGTTTGATAAATTTCCTGTAACGTTATCGATATTTTTTTTATCTTCAAGCACCTTAACGTCCTCCAAATAAAGTTTTTCATAATTATTAATTTGTTTGATAATATAAAATGAGAAGGGGAATTCCATGCTATACGGGCCATTTGTAATAGGATATCCATCAGGTTTAGCGTCCATCAGGATTTCAATGTCAATAATACTATCATCGTTAAACATCTGATACCAAAATTCAATAAGATGATTGTCACCGTTTTTGCGCTCTAAATTTAGTAAAGTTTTGAGAGCAGACAGCCGTTCAAGTGAGCATAACAACTTTGCAATATATTTCCTCACAATAATTCGAACATAAGCTCTAAGAGCAGAAGCGAATGATGAATGTAGATAAAGTATTTTTTTGTCAGAGGCAACCTGCAGCTGCCAATCTGCGGAAATGTTTTCATCCAACCATTTCAATGTTCTTTGTTTTAAAACTTCTATAAATCGTGGATGTTGAGGAATTTCATCAACAAGGTACCTGATGAAGAAATAAGAAATTTATTATTAAATATAGATGCAGAAAGCTTAATTAGACAAGAAATACTCACTTAATATGCTCTACAGACTCTGATGTAGATGGATACTTAATGCAGAGGAGACACCATAATAATTCCTGCTCTAAGATCTCTTCGAATGGGAAAACCGAATTCATAACATCTGTAATCTTTCCTTGCATAAAAACTTGCATGTTTTCCTCTTCCGGTGTCAATGTTCCAACAGTAATTTGATTCCATCCACATATGAAATCGAATGAAACAGTAGCGGCTTTCTGTTCACGATGAATATGTAAGATGATACAAGCATGCTTAGTTGGTATGTTAATGCCTACTTTCCTTTTTTTTTCCAGATATTTTGTTCTTATTTGTTCGATAATGAATTTCGCCAATTTAATGCATCCAAAATTCACTGTTGATAGATCGCATTGTAGAACTAAAAGTTCATCGTTACTATCTAGCCAAAAATGTTTTATTCGATCTTGAAGTTGAGCTTCTGTTTTGAATGTCGAAAGTTTATCCACTTGGCAAGTTACCAATGCATCTAAGCATGATTTAACATCAGTATTAATGTTCGAAAAGGTATTTACGATGATTAATTGACCATCTTTATTTTCTCGACTTTTTCCATCACCAAGCAATAGCCTTAAACATGACTCAATATCATCATGCAGACCACTCTTAAAATAGGAATTATTCAATTCAATAATTTCTTGAGGATTTCTCATGTTTAAAATGGATTGCCTAGCTCGCACCATACCATCTAATGAGGCGATAGCTATTAACCTCTCCTTACACTTTTTCAATAATAATTCTTCGTCTACATCTTTTTCTTCCTTCTTGCATTGGTCATATACCAAGCTCTGAACGGTTTCTTCTTTATCAAATCCTATAAAAATGTCTTTTTCGTTGAACTCATTTGCTTTTGCACTTTGCAATTTTGATATTTGATGAACCCATTTAAGTAAAACTTCACAGAGTTCTTTTTGGCGTTCAGAGAGTATATCATTAATTGTTAATCTCTGTTTTTCAAATCGGTTGAGCAGAGGTGGATCTGTATGTTCGAGTTTATCCTCATCCATTGCCAAAATACATTTGAAGTCCGGGTGTACATATAACATTGGATTAGAATAAGCTCCAAGTGCAACGCGTGCGTAATACTTTGTGTCTTCGCGGTTTCCAAGAGTAATATAATTCTGATTCCATAGATCGTAAAGACTTCCTAAAAGCGTGTGAAAATATTAGACATACTTAAAGTAAACTATTTTACAGAATTTTTTAATTTTCCAAAGTATTCTTAATATTATTGTGATAAAAAAATGTGTGTGCATACCATAAATAATGTCAAGATCTGAGAGAATTAAAGGTCTTCCTGCTTCAACACACATCTAAAAAAACAATAAATATTAATTTATGCCAATCACCAAAATTTTCACGTTGGATCGATAAAATTTATTAAATACTTTCCATAATCTTGCTTAAAACTGCGTATAAATAATCACCATCACCATCATCAGGAAATTGTGACCCGCATAACACGACAGGATCTAAATGTTGCGCTCGTACATGATATGTTAAGATGTTGACTAGGGAATCGCTTTTACCAATAACCATCAAATGCCTTGTGTCCTTTCGGTTCAGATTCTCATTTATAAGCTTTTCTACGGAAATCGATCTGTATGTGTAATTCTTACTATTGTTGAAACTTTTTAGAACTTGACCAAAATAATTTTCGCATATTAATTTAGTCTGATCGGTTCCTCCAAAGTTTCTTATAAGCCCTAGTTCTAAAGATTGCACTGATTTGTAAACGTTTTATATATCAGCATTATGAAAAGAATGTAATATAATCAATAATGAATAATAAAAGATCTCACTTGTCAAGTCGGAGCCACTCAAGCTTTTTACCAATGCGTAATAATCGCGAAGCCCTAACCAGCAATAAAAGTTGAGTTTTATATTTATAATTTTATAGCATATTTATTTCTAGTTTACCATAAAATACAAACTTACCATGAAAATTTTTATATTTTTGATTCTTTTCGTAATCAAGGTAGGCTTTAGCAAGTTGTCTGAGTATAGAAGTATCTATTTTATTTTTGGCTTTTTTATCGTTATCTAAAAGCATTTTAGCTGTTAAAGTAAGATCCTCAATGCCAAATTTTGGCCTTTGCACAAGCAACGCTCGGCTCGATTTACTGTTGTCCAAACGCCAATTACTAATACCAACAACTGATACTGTTGGCCCATCTTTAGGAGTTTCCTTATTAATCGACACTGATGATGATGAACCTTCTATGGGATCTTCAGTGTCGAAAATTGATTCTATGTCTATAAGTGGTTTTGATTGAATTTCTTCAGATTCTTCAACAACTGACATATTTGGACTTTCAATAGAATCATCCTTTACGAAACCAGGCTCTAAAAGAGCGTGAAGAACTTTCAAAGGATTGAATCGACTAGTTTCTGCTAGACCGACTTCATCGAGAAGGACAACAGCTTGCACAGGAAATGCCTCTGAGCTTGTTTTCTGATAACTTTCTGCTTTATCAAAAACTTTAAGTATCCCGGCTGAAGTTGAAGAGGCAGAACCTTGATGCGGTATAAAATATACCTTACAATATTTTTTTATTAGAATTATATGTTAGAATTATGAAAGTATGTGAACCCCGAGATATTTACAGATAGGCAATGTATTACTAAAAAAGGAAAAAACGTTAATATATTACTAAAATACTGAAATAAGCACATTTTATATGTATGAACAATAAGAAAACTAAAACCTTACCTATCTATAGATATTTCGGATCCTAAAGTATGTAACTTAAAACATTATATACAACTTACTTGTGGTAATGTTTTGAAATATTCATCATCTGATTCTGCTCCTCGAAGATTTGAGCTAATAAGTCGTACTGCCAAAGACTTTGAGCTGCATAAACGAGGTTATAAAATTTTATGTGAGAGTTATCTAAAACCTGGTTTATAATTTATAACCATTATGATAATACTAACCTTCCGGGAGCTCCGATAATAAAAACAGGAATTTGATTCAATATGCAAACAATCATCACAAGAATGTTCTCCAAAAGAGCGTCATTATCTGCTGTAGATGGAGGGCAAACCATTCTTCGCATAAAATCTTCTTGCTCTCTACGAATTATCATTTGAAAATCTGAAGCACTAAGTCTTTCTTTATGTTCCATAAAAACTTTCGCCATACACTCTCGATATCTTTTTCGCAAATCTTGATCATATAAACGTGATTGATAGCAAAGTCCAAGTGATAGAACAAAGCTATTACGTATCAATGTTCTTTTGTCTTTTGGTGGATAGTTCCAAAATTGTAAGTAAATAGCGAGACCACGAGGATGCGTTGCAGGTGGTCGATCCCTCATACTATTCTGGAACCATAAGGCCAGCTTTATTGCTCGTTTTACATCGCGAAGGCTAACTGTGTATGATTCTTCAACCATTCGAATGAATTTCTGTGATTCACAAAGCAAATCCACAAATAGCGGTTGTGCTCCTATCTGACTTTTCACCATGATCTCAATGTAAGCCTAGTAAAAATACAAGAATTTGTTTCTAAATTAGAAATCGAGATTTAGAGTTTATTCATCCTATTTGGAATCACGTACCTTTTCTTCCTCAAGTTTAAGGACACCATAATCCCATACATAATCTAAAATTTGATCAGGTAGCGGGTGTACTTGATAGACCAATTTACTCTGCTCTTGATAGCTTTTTTCTAAACCTAC